CGCCCCTCCTCCTCTAAAGGAATAAGAAAATTTGTCATCCGCACTTTCTCCACTGCATCACTTGACTCCATTGTCATGCTGCTGATACCCACCGGCAACGGCGGAACGCCGCTGTCGGCGCCAGGATGAAAATCTCCCTTTTCATTTGGGACCGCAGCAGTCAACCGTGAAGTCTCCTTCGACCCATCATGGTGTGAGAACCCAACCGTAGGGGTTGTCGCCAACTCCAATGGCGTCGCCCTCTCAGGCGTCTGCCCCTTCGACGCCGCAGGCGGCAGTGAGGCGACGAGAAGAAAATCTCCCGGCATTCCCCGCCTCCCTTCTCCGCAGGCACGAGACGGTGGCGGACCTAATCTTGTGGTTGGCACATAAAAGACACGAGTAGCGAACGAGGCGGAAGCGGTCAGTTAAAACGAGGCGGAACAGAAAAATGAGTTGGAAAGGGAGCAAGCGAGCACACAAACATCAAAATGTAAAGAGAGAGAAATACAAAACAAAACAAAAAAAGGAGGGGAGGGGGGGGGGGCGCGGGCGGAACCCCAAGCATCTCCTCAGTGGCAGTCCCTTCGTTGCTCTCCATGCCACCCAGTTAACACGGAACGCCTAGTTCCCCATTACCATTATCCACGAGGACTTGTTTGCGTTTATTTTGTATATCCTGTGCAAACCACATACACGCCGAGCATATTTAAAAAATAAAAATAAAAAATGTGTGTGAGTGCCGTAGTAACAGAGCAAACAAAATGTTATTTTGTTTTTCTTTTTTTTTAAACAAACAAACAAACAAACAAATGTGTAGACCCCTCAAAGTAAAATAGAAACAGGTTGAAAAATAATTCATATGACCCATGCAAAAACGAAAAATATGTGGTCAATACGGTGCCGTGTATGCATTGAAGGCGCCCAGACCCGTAGAGTCTGCGGCATCGCAGTCACTCGAAGGGAAATAAAATGGTAAGGGAACGCAATATCTGCGACGACCCGCGTTTCCTGCAGCACATTCATGCGCTTTACATGTCTCAAGAAACAAACAAAAAACATGTACACGGAGATGCATACATAATACCTACTAGTCCGACACGACAACAGTTCACTCTACTCCTCGCTCCTCTGCACTTTGGTCACGTGTATGCACGGTGGTGAATGGAGGCGTCTCTCTCTACAAGGCAATTTTAGACCCCACGCCGAGTTCCGTTTCAGCTAAATAATTTTTGCAAAAGCACTGCAAAGCCCAAAGAATGAGCCGCTCTCCCTCGTTTGCCTTTTGTTGCAGCTCTGCAATCGGATTGCCAAGGTATCCCATATGCCCTCCGGATGGCATTTCGATATACGTCACATTTGCATTAGTGTTTGCGAGTTTCTCCCAGCGACGGATGTTTGGTGGTTTGCCGCAGATGGGATCATTGCGAACGGCGATACATAAGACGGGAACCTGCGCCGTTAACAGTGAAACAAAGCAGCTTGCGGCACTGTAGTACTCTTCAGGTGAACGGAAGCCAAAGTGCGGGGCAGTGACGTGGCAGTCAAACTGAGCAACCGACCTCAGTCGGTACAAAAGCGGGTGATTCCCCTCGAACAGTAGCTCGGTATCTACAAGAGGTAGTTGCTTCATGACAGTCTTGTGACGGTCCGCGTACGCAACCAGTTCCTTGGCAAACGAATGCCCGTACAGTGAATGATTCATGGCGTCGTCAGCCTCGTTTAAATCATACGGTGAATTGAAGACAATGGCCGCTCTCAGCTGGCTCGGTTCCTTCCGGAGCCCCTGTTCTCCGAGATACTTGCACAAGACAACACCACCAAATGAGAATCCTAGCGCAATCAAAGGTTTTGGTTGGCGGCACTTAAGCCGCTCTTGAACCTGTGTTGAGGAAAAATGATTTTTAAGAACATGGCGGAGATCCATAGTGAACACAGCGCCAAAAATCTGCGCCTTCTCCAGAGGGGCACCCTCAACTCCACGTGTATTCAGCACCGCAACATAAAAGCCCTCTCGAGAGAGCAGGGTCACCGCGCGCCGTACGTAGGTTGACTGTGAACAACCCAATAGCCCTGGGAGAATCAGCACCAACCCCCTCACGGCTGTTTCACTGGCTGATATCAGGGGAAAGAAGTCGATGCAGAGTGAGTTGCCATCCTCCGCAGTCACCGTCTCACGGGTGTAGTCAACCTTACAGGATGGACGCAGAGACCCAAGAATGGTGTGCACGTGACCACCGTACATAGGCCCCTCGTACATCGTGCAGGAGCCCAACCCAAAGGAGTCATAAATGGCAGAACTACACCGCGATCCGACAGCTGCGATGCGTCGCTCCTTCCACGCTGCAAGTGTAAACTCCTTTTCCCCAATCATCCACTCAAGTAGACATATGGGCCAGCGGAAAAGCAGATTAAACAGTGTCTCTGGAACAACGTAAAACACGAGATGCACCACGCAATGAATAAGAAAGAAAATAACGCGACTTGAAAAGGAAGACATTGGCTGGCTTGATGGATGACTATTTGCTATTGCAAGAAATATGTCTGAGTATGGAAGTGGAGCCTCTGAAAATCTCACACAGAGGCGCCAAGAGGGTGATTGTGGTGGCTTGTGATCTAACAATACGGCTCAAGATACCAGCAGCGGAAGGGAAGAAATAAACAAAAAAAAACACAAGCAAAGCGGAGGTGCATGGCTCATCAACCCACAAAAAAAAAAAAAAACGTACCAGCGCACGCGCTCCCGTCTGCAGATATAGAGACATCACCAGTTCTCTTTTGTTGTTGTTTACTTTACTGGAAATGAAGTTTGTGACATCTCCTTCCTCCTTGTTTTTGTTTTGTTTTTGTTGTTGTTGTTTTTCGTTTGCTTCCCCTTCCTCACGTCTGCGTGTACGCGTGTGTCTCAGTCTCCGTCGAGAAGAGTCAGGCCAAAGTTATAGCAACAAAAGGCTTTTGGGTAAAGGTTTATCCCGCCCCCTTCAATCTCACCTGCTCGCCTTCCTTGTTTCCTTCTCTCCTTCACCCTGCGCTCGCTCGCTCTCTCCCTCTCTCTCTCACTCGCTCCTGCAGCATGCGTTGTGAACAGGCAGCAAAGGCCGCAAACCAAAACCAATTACTTGTTCAATACAACACCATGGCACATCACGACCTGGCACCTGGAGGCCCGGTTGACGGCACTTCCTCCTATCGTTTTTGCGTCTTCCTTCCACCGCTCCCTTTACCTTCCGTTCGCTACTTTCTTCTTCTTTCCCCTTCTGCAAACCCCTCTGCCTTGCTCGTGTTGCCAGCCTGCTTCTGTGGATACGCACGCATTAAACTCGTTATATCAATAGGACGTCAATAATATATATATATATAAATGAAACCAACCTTTTTATTTTTCCCTCTCTTTTTTGTTTACTATTCCTCTCTTTCTCTTTCTTTCTATCTCTCCCCTCCTGCTCTTCCCCTCTCTCTCTTTGCCTGCTTCAATGGATCCATGTTTCTTTTCCCCTTCCCCTTCCCCTTCCCCTTTCCCTTCCCCTTCCGGGTCCGTTGGGGCCGCGTGCGTCGAGTTGCACGTTTCATCACTCCTCATTTTGTCACCAAAAGAAAAGGAAAACACACACAAAAAAAGAGTCCCTGCTTGTCCCGCTCTGCCTTCTCCTCAGACACTTTTCAATGCAGCCACGCACATATGCCACACGCAGTCACCATTCTTTTATCCTCCTCTTTGTTGCTGTTGTTTTTTTTTTCGTCTGCCCATCCCCTATGGCGAAAAACGCACACTCCCATCTCATCTCTCTCTACCCCTTACTTGCTCCTCAGGTTCGCAGATTTGGCATGTCGCGACGATGGGGACAGTGCCCCAGTTCGGTCCTGGCTGCCGCCCTGCGTCACTGCAAACCACACAGAAAAAAAAAAAGACCCTTTCTGTGTTGCTGAGAGGTACAGGGAGTAAAAAGGGGGCAAATAAAAAAAAAAGATAGTTTAGGGACGTGTATGCCGTTTCATCCTCCCCACAGATAAATGCTGTGGGGTTTAGTTCCACGGGGCTGTTGTGAAGTTGAGTGAAAGGCCCTTGGTATTGGGTTGCGGTTGCGTCCCTGATCCACTTGCCAGTCCAGGTAGAGCAAAAAGCGACGCGGTGCTCTGAGGCGCGTCGTTTGGAAAGGCTCCAGCGTTAGCCATGCCTCCAGACATAGGCCTCGAAACGGAAGTGTATCGTGGCCTCTCAGGGAACGCGCCTCCTGAAATAACAGGGCTGCTTCCAGAAATGCCTGTCATGGGGGACGTCGAGAGTGGTGACTTGCCCGAAACATGTCCGGGACCAGCTTTAACAGCGAAGGATGGATGGGTTACCGTGTTGCCAGAAGTTTGCCCTGGCACCAGTGACGTTGGAGTAAAGGGGCAGGCATTGGCGTCAAGAGTAAAGCGCGCCACTGCACCGCCAGTGGTAAAGGGAGCAGTGACAGTAAAACCGCCACTCAGCCCTGATCCGACTCCTGTGCCTACCCCTACAGCGACATCCGCACCGGCAAGATGCGCTGACGTATCTGTCAGCTGCAGTGGCGGTGGTTGTGCAGAAAAGAGAGCGGTAGTCGATGAACTATCAAAAGCGTTCAATGTGTCTCCACACTGTACGCCCGCACTGAACGATAGTGGATCGGTCAGCGATCCCCATGTCGACAGACCTACTCCCATCACTCCCGCGGCGGAAGGCTGCAACGCAGGCGAAAAAGCCCCACCGCAGCTTCCCACAGCAGAGCGTGGCAGAGGAATTGAGGAACCATTACCAGAAGCAGCAGCAGCGCCTCCACCAAGAATAGAATTGGCATCAGGACTTACACCGTGTGCCGCAGCTGCTAGTAACGGTGGTGAGCATTGTGGAGAGGGACGTGTTGGTGTCATGAACGTCGGAAACAGCTGCGGGGTTCCGCCGCTCGTGGATGACGGAGCCCAGAATGACTGAAGGTCATTAATGGCCAACGTCTCATGACGAGTCGAAGAAAGCTCTGGAATGCGCAGTGCTGCCGCCAAATCTCGCTGTTTTCGGCGCTTCAGCTCTTGGCGCTCCTTCCGCTGTGCGGCACATGCCGCTGCCTCAGCCTCCAAGGTTGACAGTAGCTCATTGCCACTCTTGAGCTGCTGGTGTAGCTGCTCCATTTCACGGTTGCCGTCCTCAATCTGTTCCTGAAACTTTTTAATGGAAGCTTCTTCTTTGGACTTTTCTGTTGCCAACTTTGCGACCTGTGCCCGGTTCGTAGTCACCGTTTGAGTGAGCGTATCCAACTCACGCAGCAGCTCAGGGCTGGGGCCAGCCTTGGCAAGCAGCATCTTACGTTCACGGTCCTTCTTCTTCTGCAGAGCCTTCTGGTAGGATTTGCCATGCTCGTTCAGTAACTGGCGGTAACCACTGTTCCACGTCAGCTCGATGGTGTCGCGTTGCTGCGACTCGTGCTTTTCAAGCTTGACCACAAGTTTTTCCAGTTCTTTGCGGCGCCTCTCATTTTCTTCTGTCATCGCTGCAGCAACAGAATCGGCTGTCGTCTGCTGACCTCCTGTGCTTTGGTCCACGTTGTTGTCGAATCCCCGCTTCGCAAGGGAGCCCTTGCCGTTTTGATGATTGGTGTTCAACTTCTTTCCCCCATCTTCCGCTAGTGGCGGACCTTTGGAGGTCGTTAAGTCCATGGCGTACTGAAAAACGAGTCGATCCTCCGCACGGTTGTAAAGCCGGTACCCGGACTGTGACATGGTAGAACTTTGCAGCGCCACCGTCAGCGAGACAAAGCTCTCGAAACCTATCAATTCCCCAGGTGCGGCCTCCACCTCTTGTTCCAGAAACAACGCGGAACTTTCCTTCAGCGTTACCTCTGGGCTTGGGGAAACGGCATTGCTCCTGTTTTTGTTATTGTTGTCGCCCCCGTTGGTTACATTATTCTTCCGTTTCTTCTTGGGGTCTTGCGTCCGAACAATCATGTGAGCAGTGAGGGAGTCTGTGTGACGATGCCAAACGTAAAAACTCAGCTTGTCATCTACCACAGTCAGCAGTGCATGCCAACGGATCTTGTTGCAGCTAAAGCGATTACTCACCAATCGCTGCAGCACCATTACCTTCATGATTTTGGCGCTATCCACTGTGCAGGTGTAGCGCCCAGGAGCGTGCTCGTGTATTTGCATCTGTGGCATAAATGAGAGCTTCGAAATAGATGGCACAGCGTGGCGTGGGGGATAGAAGTAGTGGCTTATTTTCTCCGCTAGTAGCTCGGGAAGTTGGTGGATGTCGGCCAAGTCCGTGTCCTCGTGCACGGTAGAGATTGAGAGCTCATGGCAAACTTTCTCCAGCAAGGGGGTTGGCAGGGGTGAGAAAAACGTCATCACACTGGCGGCAGAGATAGCCATAAATATGTCCTCCGGAGACCAGCAGCGGTCCAGGAAGCCAAAGGCGTTGGCAAAATACCGAAGGTGCTCCGCACTCAGTGTGCAGATGTCGTGTCGCAGGGAGAGAAGACCACGCACGCGGCCATCCTGATCATCCCCTCGCTGCAGCATCACACCTCCCACGCCAGCGCCCAAAGCACTGTCTGCCGCCTCCGCAAGCGCTTTCGCGTTGTCCAAACTAGGATTATTGGCGTTGTTTCCGTCTTGACGCCGGTTGGCGCCAAAAGCAAAAGGCATTGGCGCCTGCGGTTCCAACTTATTCGAGACAATGGCACAAATTGTAAAGGCAAGCAGACGAAGGTGCTCTGTGATCGTCATGCGGCAAAGCTCCTCCTTCTCATCTTCAAGATGTATGCTCCACCAGGTGGCCAACTTTTTCATCGTGTTTAAACTCAGCCGGCTGACCTTTTCCGTCGTCTCCTTGAGGTCATCCAAGTCTTCATCGTGGAAGGAGCGACCTTCTTCGTACTCCTCTTCATCCTCGTCCTCGCTGTCGTCATTGTCGTCATTGTCGTCACTTGCATCAGCGTTGCCTGTCTTGCCGCCGCGTCCCGCGGCGTCCGAACCTCGTTCTTTGGCGTCCTTGCACTGCAAAAGCTCAAACACCACGGAGGGATGATCAATCTGCGAGGCTGTCTCAAGAATTGCGCGCGGCAATCGTACCGTCACACCACCATCATCATCATCATCTTCATCTTCATCGTCATCGTCATCTTCATCTTCATCTCCATCCACACTGTGCACTGCATATGATGCCCACGCCAGTGCTGCCGATAACTGAGCCTGAAGATCACGCTTTGAGAGTCGTCCAATTGGCACGTTCCCGCCACCGTTTAGCGAGGAGGAGGAGTTTGTCGTAGTTGAAAGAGGAGGTGTACTGTAGTTCAAGCCATCCTTCTCATCGGAGCCCTCTTCGGTGCGCTCCAGGGAGACACACACATCGCCGCTGCACTGTTGCAGGAGTTGAAAAAAAGTCATTCCGTCAAGGTTTGCCACAAGCTCATCAGGAATGGCATCATCATCTCTCCTGCTGTAACTCACCAACGCCTCCCGCAAGAAGCGGCGAGATGACTCAGATAAAGCTCTCCTACCGCGACTACTACTACCTGCAGAGGTGGGGGCGTTGATGCTGCTGTCCTCTGTCCAATTTGAGGCAGAGGCGGCAGAGGACGGTGGAGCTGGTGCTACTATAGCTGTCAAAGGAGTTACGCCATCCCTGCGTCTCTTTTTGGTAGGCCTTGTACTCGGATTTTTATCCTGCACGCCCTCTGTCAGGCCATCTAGGGCCGTAGGGGAAGCATCTGCGGAGTCAGCTTGCAAGTTGAACAACCCATCCACATTTGCCCAAGCCGCTCCACTCGCTCCAGTTCGCAGACAATGCAGTGGCATCGTGGCATCAACATCCTGAGCAAACTTTGGGGCACCACCGCGAGTCCCAGTGGAGCTCTTCTTCGCTGAAGGCTCCTTTACGCTTGCGATGGCCGAGAGAAAATCCGGGCAGCTACGCCGCAGTAACGCAAGTGGTGAATGCTCCGTCCCTCGGAGGGGCTTTCCGCCCTGCTTTGTACCTTTCATCCCGATGTAGTCGCACTCACTTACCCACCCACTTTTGCTGTCTCTACTCCGTACAATTTAGCCTCTGACACCGCCCCCACTTGCTGCTGTAGCGGATATTGCCTTTTTTCGGTAGCCGTCGCTGTCGTGCAGATTGATTGCAGTACCGACCCCCACCAACGAGCGACGACGACCAAAGACAACAATTGTCTTTGTCACCCTCAGAAGTCTATAGAATACGAGCAATACCAAAAGGGTGGGAGGGGGGGGGGGAGGGAGGGGGTAAAATAGATGATGTGGAAAGAATTCCTTGACTCAGTCAACTGGTTTTTTCCCCTCCGTGCTGCTGGCTGTCGTTTGCTCGCCCACGCACTCCCTTTTTCTTTTTCTCCTCCGCCTAGCGTTCTTTTTTGTTTATTGTTTTTTTTTCTCCTTCACCGAACGTTGTGCCTTTTTTTTTTCGTTCCTTCAATTTTCCTGTGACGTTCGCGCTTAAACTCCCTTCGTTCCCGATTATGTGTATTTCCCTCTCCCCGTGCTTTTCCTCACCTTTTCTCACTCGCTCGCCTTAGTACTCAAACGAATTAACTAAATTCTCGGTTTCCTCCCCTTCGCTCCTTATTCACCTTGGCAAAAGCCCTCTGCCTCAACACCTTTTTCCTGCCTGTGTGTGTGTGTGTGTAAGTGTGCGGGGAGAAACCCCTCTCCTTTGTTTACTATCCGTAGCAGCGGCGCACTTTTTGAATGCGGGGCGTGTAGGGAAAACAAGCAAACCAAACCAATACAAAAAAAAAGGAGAATAAAGAGGCAAACGAGTCTCAGCACCACCCACGTCGCTCCCTCCCGCTACTACCGCTCTCCGTTCACTTTCTCTCATGGACTCACTTACCCACCTCTCTTCTCCTCTTCACGGCAAGTGTTTTTTCCCCTGCAAATCTGCATCACCCCTCCCACACTGCGGGCACGCATGCAGAAATACGGTCACACAAGATAAAAGCAACAGAGAGCACTAGTAGCAGGAGGGTGAAATTTGTATGACTCTGTTGCGAGGGCAAGGAAAAAGCAAATCAAAGAAAGAGAGAGAGAGATGTAATTGATATTTTTTAAAATAAAAAAAAAGAAAAAACAGGGGAAAAATGTAGTTTTTTTTTCTTGATTAATAAAAAACTATTATTCATATTATTGTTTGTTTGTTTGTTTTTTTTTTGCTCCTTCACTTTGCATCCAAAATAATGATAAAAGACCGAAGTAAAGAACCAAAAAAAAAAAGAACAACAACATTTACTCTGCCTTGTCTCGTTGCGGGTTCCCCGCCGCCTCCCAAGCCCACAGGCACACCACAATGTTCCCAATGTGTTTGTGTGTGTAGCGAGTGGATGGCAAACCACCAGGAACAAAGGGAGAGTTAACTGTTCGTGTTTCTTTCCCTTTTTCTTTATTTTTCTTTATTTTTGTTTCTTTTTTATCATCTCCTATTTTCTTGTCAGTTCTTCTTCAGGCGCTTTACCGGTTAGTTTTATTTTCTTTTATACTTTTCAATCATTTGATTTCCTTCGTTTTTTTTTTGATGTTTTTCGACGTGTGTGTGTGTCTTTCTTCCCCCATCCTCTCCGGGGCATGCACTCGCTTCTTTCTCTCTCTCTCACACACACACTTATTTCATTCCTGTTCCTGGACTTTTTTTTTGTTCCTTTCGCCTCCGTCTTAGCACCACCCACGTCGGGGACTCAAATCGTCGATGCGACTACGGGAGCCACAGTGATAGTGACCGTGATCACTGAGAAAAGAGGGGCGTGGGTGGGGTGGCAGGTAAGTGATGCCAACACGCCAATAAAAGCAGTGGAAGCAGCCGCAAAGTCCTGGAAGGCACAAACAAATGCGCACGGCGTTCACGCATTAATAAACGAGAATTCAACGAGAGAAACCTTTTGCCTTCATAACTGTATGTTGGCCTATCGTCACCTCTCCACATTCACTACACACCCGCTCTTCTTGTCGTCGCCATGTTTGGGCTTCTGCCTCCTCTCTCGGGGTCTTGTGTGCGCTGTGGTTCTCCGTCCGTGCATGCACGTGTGTGCCTCTGCTCGTACTCCTGCTCGGTTTGGCTCGGCCTTTCCTCGCCACCTTGCCTTCCCTTTTGCTTCACAGCCTCCTCCAGTGTGAACGCTGCCAAAGGGTTGTGGAAGGGTTAACAAGAAAGACGACATATTTGCTTTGAATACACAGTTTTTGTTATCTCGTCTTTTTTTATCTCCTTCCGCCGTTGTTAATACTAGTACTACTTCAACTATGACTGTTGCGAGTGTTGCGACAAATATATATATATATATATATGTATGTATTATATATTGTTGTACCTGCCCTTTGCACCCTGCTTCCCGTCACGTTGCCCTCTCCCTCCCGTTCTCTCCCCCTTTACCCGCTGCAGTTCGCTCGCTTCCCAAATGTAATCCGCTTTGCCTACCACTAGACTGATCTTTACCACTGGTTGTGATAAGTATTTGTCTGCATGTATCCCACCTGCGAGCGTGGGTTAAAGACGGGGTTCGTGCCACCGTCAGGCATGACCCCGCGCATGTCCCCAGCTCCCATTGGGCGGTTGTTAAAGTTGCTCTGCATGTGTGGGTTCGAGCGCATCGGATTTCCGCGGCCCATGTGCGGAGGTACATCACCGCCCCTCGCACCGAATGCCTTGCCACGGTGTGGCTGGTAATTCATGTTCTGGTAATAACGGTTATGCTCGTATGGTGGGGCAACTGGGCCATGATTGATCCCCCAATTGTCGGGGCGCGGTGGGGGGGGCCACTGTACATTTTCTTGCATGGCAGAAGAGTACGCGTAACCTGGGGCGGACGGTGGAACTTGTTGTGTGGGGACAGGAGGAGCCACAGGAGCATTGCGGACTGGCGATTGCTGAGAGTGACGATGATATTGCTGCTGTTGTTGTTGCTGTTGTTGTTGTTGCTTGCTGCTGCTGCTGCTGCTGCTGCTGCTGTTGCTGCAGCTGTTGTTGTTGTTCAATGAGCTTTGCACGCTCCTGCTGAAGGTTCTCATTCTGCTCCTGCAGTTGACGCTCAAGCGTAGCCAACTGCGCACGTTTGTCGTTCAGCTCAACCTCCGTCCGCTTGCAGTAATCCTCAAAGTCCTGACGAGCATCTTTGAATTCGCGACGCTCCTTCTCCAATACGGCAAAAGCACTTGTCATTGTTTGCTGCTCCTCTGGAGCCTTGAAGGTGACCCGAATCCCCTTCTCTTGTGCGTCAATGACTTCCTGGGGGTATTGAATAATGTAGGCAGGTGCGGCCGGCTGCACCTGCTCCCCTTGCTGAGGCTGCGTGAACTGATTCACAAAGCTGTAATCGTCGTCATTGGCCCAACTAAAGTGGGCGTCAGCCTCGGGGAGCGTCACAGACTGCTGCGGTAGCTGCTGCTGCTGAGGCGGTGGAGTCGGCACCACTGAGCTCTGCTCTACAACGGGCTCTTCACTGGCGAGTTGCTGCGCAGCTTCCTCCACGGGCACAACGTCCGCCGCTGCAACTCCACTTTCTACGGCAGGCGTCCCAGGCTCCGAGATTACTTCGGGTGCCTCCACAACTGCCGCCACCGGTTCTGCCTCTGGTTCGACCTTGGCCGCAACTGCAGCTGGTGGTGGTGGCGGTGATGTTGGCTGTTCTACGGCAGCAGGAGTAGCATCGCTCGGACGTTTGCCGGCACCAATACGCAGTGCTTCAAGGAAGCTCTTGCCGGAGGATGCCTTGGCAGTGTTGGTAATTTGCGTCTTGATAACGGGGCCAGATGGGGACGCAGGCTCCTCTGCCTTGGCATCCTCCCGCTTTAAACGTGGGTGGTCATGAGAGCCTCTTGCTACAGGCTTGCCGTTGGTCTTTCCACTACCGATGTTGCTTGTATGGTTGTGGGAATTGGCTGTCACATTGCGTGGTGGCATTGTTTCAGTTTTATTTCACTTGGCTGTCCTATTCCGTTTGTTTATTTTGTTCTTATTTATTCTTTGTTGTTGGTGTTTTTTTTCTCGCCTTGTGGTGCTGCTTCTTCGCTTACGGGCTTTACTTAAGTTACACCTGTTTTTTTTTTTTTTTTGTTAGTCCACGCTTTTCCTTTCTGCGGGAACGAGCGTTATATGTATGTGTGTGTGTGTGTGTGTGTGTGTGGCGGGAGGGGAGAGCGAGGTGTTGAGGAAAGAGTGCGGAGGGTGTGCAGCCTTCGTTGCGGGTGATGCGCGTCCCCAGGCGGCACAGGTTGAGAATAGCCACGCAAGCGGCGGGAGGCAACGCACGAAGGTGGAAAAAAACAACAGCAACTGGAACAACTGTGAGGTGCTGCCCCCGCAGTGTGTCCTTCCAACGCTGTGGAAACAGAAAGATGGAATAGAAAGAGACGGGTGGAGAGGGAAAGGGGCATACACACATAGACGCATGCAATAAAGGCATGTGGGAAAACACACAACAGCCTCGACTCGCCCCCCATTTTTCTTTTCTTCGTGATTCCTCGTTGTTGTTGTTGTTTCCCGTTTTTTTTTCTTTTTCTTCGCGTTCACTTGAACGCTCCTTTCGCCTCTCACCAGTCATCCACGTCGTAGCCGAAGTCGCGGTCTCTACAGCAGAAGTACGGTGCCAGGAGAGACCAGATGTACAGCAGTGCCGCCGCCCACACTGTCGCACTGCGCACCCAAAAGGCAATGTTAATGCTTCCCAGCAGGGTGTCCTTGCCCATGCCGCTCACGTGCCAACCGGTTGCCAGCATCGCAAGGTACATCGAGCCCAACATCATCGTGGCGTAGAAGAATATGTATTGACTCAAGTGTCCAATCTCGTCCGGATCCTCCTCCTCACCCTCCTCGTTACGGCCGATGCCAAGCGCGCTGCTGTTACCTCCAGAAGACACAGCACTGTAGCCGAGTGCAAAACTGCTGACGACGCTTGCAAGGATCATTTGCGTCACCGAGCCCGTCTGGCCCTCGGGCACAGCAAGACGGTTGCACTGCGCATCCGTGCCAGTACGAAGGGTAGCAAACATGACACAGCTGGTGTACAAAAATACGATGCCACTGGGAACAATCGAGCCGTGTGGAACCCAAATAGACAAGACGGTGAAAAAGAGAGCGCCCACAAGCACACTGGTGATTGCAAATGCATTGAAGTTGCAGTCCGAGTGCGGGACGTACATAACAAACGCGGCAATGTTCACGCCAACGCCCCCCAAGTAGGTCAAGACTGCTAAGCCCAGCAGGTACCACATCCACTTGGGGGCCACTTCGCTCCGGCGTCCCCAGTCCTCGCTCCACTGATAACTGAAATCCACAAGGAAGACGACGTTCAGGAGGAGGAAAAACGCGGAGGCAAAGAGGCAGGCGTACGCATAGACCCCAAAAAAATGATTTGGGATCCAAAAAGTGGCGGCTAACAACCCCACGACGAGAATTGTTTTTGCGTAAAAGAAGCGCCTCTGAAACTCCGCCCGGGCCTCGCTAGAGATGCAACACGTAAGGTCAGAGACGGACAGCAGGTGCAGAAAGAAAAACACCGCCAGCGCGAAGCTGACGCGGTAGACGAGCACCTCCCCAGTGCAGAGGTCACTTGAGGCGCTGGTGGCGAAGTTGCACCCCTTTTGAAGGATGGGAACATGACTGAAGACACCCGCAAGAGAGCTGCGAAGGAGCATCGTGGCGATAAGGCCAACGAGGAGGTAACAGGCGTACTGCACCCGCAGCATCACACCGGGGGTGAAGATCCCGCTGTTGTTGGATGTCGCAGTCATTTTTTCCCCGTCTTCAGGCATAAACTGAAAAAAAAAAGGGTCTCAGTGGAGATTCACACAAATATATACGGGAAAAAAAAAGCACAGGAAAAAAAAAACTACTCAGTAACGTGTCTTTTCGACGCAAACTACTTCTATTTGACTCCTACGTGTATCTAATGGATTGCCTCACAAGAATAGAAAAAGAAGGAAAGAAAGAAGGAGGAGACAAAGACAGTAGTTGCAGTAATAGTAAAAACAGCGAAGGAAAGAGAGGCGCAGCAGAGAATAATAATAATAATATACAGCGAGGCCAAAAACATCATTGCGGAAGCAGCAAATAGAGAAACACCCCCTCTCTGGTTACATGCACAGAACCTCGGCGGAGAAACTAACGCCAAATACATCTACGGCTCACTCGTGCATTGTGCGTATGCGTGTGTCGCCTCTGTAAGTCCAGCGGAGGATGCAACAACAAAACAAAAAAAAACATTTTAACATAAAAAAAAAAAAATGTCCTTGGTATACATATCAGGCATAGCCGCTGCGATTGAACATACTCTTATAGAGAAGAAGAAAAAAAAAGTAAAAGAGTTCCCCTTTGTTTTTCATTGATTCCTTTTTTTCTTTACTTGCCTTGTAACACTCCTCTTCTTCCTTCCCCGCAGAGTCACACAGCCTACGCGAACCGCTCGTCGTCCGTCATGAGACAGAACTTTGTGTAGCCAATCTCCCCGCCGCCGACGCTGTGCGCCTTTCGGATAGCATCCGACTGCGCCGGGGTCAACTGCACGCCCAGAGACATGAGGGTCGCGAAGAACTGTCCCTCCTTCACAAAGCCCTTGCGTGCCCGGTCATACTGACGGAAGGCTTGAAGCGAGGTGGAGCGACGCGAGGCCAACGTACGACGTACCTTGTCGATCGCCGACCGGTACAGCTCTGCCTGCGATTCCGCAAGCGTCATGGTGCTTTTCTGCGTCCCAGACACCCCCTCAGCTGTCAACTCGGCGAATTGTTCGGGCGCTGAGTCTGCTGCTGGCACCGCAATTGTATCAGTAGCCGTGCCCAATCCGCGCCGACGCTGCGTCACCGCCATGTATCCCACACCAGCCTGAAGCTTATCCGATACGGTCGAAAAAAACGCCGGGTAGCTGATGTGACCCCTCAGCTCACTGTGTGCAAAGGCCGCCTCGAGGGCTTGCAACTCCTCCTCTGAGAGTTCCAGACCTAGAATTGACAGACAGTGCCGAAAGCGTGTGTTCGTCACGTGACGGTGGCGCAGCTCGTCACCATCCGGGAAGAATTCCGACAGCCGTGCCTTGCGTTCTTGCAAAAAGCAGCATATTTTTGTCAGGATACGCTCCACCAGCTCCTCGTCCACGGTTTCCCCAAGTGGAAAAGTGTCGTTCCACCCCATGGATGCCGGGTTATTCGTCGATGTCATCGTTCGGTTCATGATTGACTTCACCGTCCCGCCTTTTTCCCCACCGCTCCCCTGCGGCATCTCGTTCTGGGCAATATCGCGGATGAAACGGGTGTACTCAATCAGCTCTGGATCCTCCGGCGATGCGTAGTAGCGTGACAAGAGCGCCGTGTCTGCCGCGGACAACACAAAGCGATGGCGTGCGAGAGCCCGCAAGTAGTTTGATTTCGTAATCTTCCCACGGTGCAGGCGGTCAAAGTCCGAGAAAAAAGGCGCCAGGAGGGCATGGTGCGTTGAGACGTCGTGTGAGAGTCTGGCGAGAAGCTGTGGAAGACGCTCACGCTCCGCATCTGTGATTCCCTCGAAGGGGTTCCTCTGCGTATCTTTAAGCACCGCGGTGACAGCCCCCGTTAAGCTTCGCGAGGCGGAAAAATTAAACTTCGTCGCGACAGAAGGCACCACAGTTGGCGAAATTTCGCCAACGTCAGCCACGAATCGATTGACGTCGATGTGATCACGCGCCTTCGTCGACTTGTACTCTTTCTGCAGCAGTTCTACCTCCTGCGGATGCAGATGCAGCCCAGCAATGCCAAGCGCCACCGCAAACTTCTCCGTCTGTACTATGCCGCTGCGCAAGGGGTCAAAGTCTATGAAAAACTCGTTCACGCGGAGGCGTCGCTCCTCGGCCTGCAGTGCCACCTTGACGAGCACTAGTGGCACGGTCTCCGCTAGCTGCGAGTGCGAACTGCCCTTCTGGTTTTGCAGCTCGCCCGTCCCAATCGAGCGCAGTAAACGCGTTGGGCTGAGCTCCGGCTTGTGGGCCTGATCCACATCCATGACGAACTGGTAGTAGTTCACTTCGTCGCTAGGGCTGCCATCCGCATTGCGGATGAGGTACCACTTTACCAGCAGCGAAACCTCCTCTGGGGCGAGAAATATTTTGTTTGTCGCCAGGGAACGCACAAAACGTGACTTGGTACACGTGCGGTGTTCATAAATACCCTTCCGCACACGATCAAAGTCATGCAGCGTTGGAATTAAATGGATGCGGTTCGAATGGACAAAGCGGCGCACTTTATTCAGCACAAACTCCGCCCGCTCCTGCTCCTTGTCCTCCACCCCACTGAGGAACTGACCAGGAGTTCTCGCCATCTCGTAGTAAGTCGTCGAGCCTGGCACGCCCTCGTCGCGGCGGGGGTTGGTGTTGGCGAGAAACTGCACGTAGTTGACACGTGAAAAAGCCTCCTCGTTTGTGTCACTACCAGTGCCCCCCAGCCTGGCGTCCGCGTACGCCTGTGTCAACGTGTCAATGTGCTCCGCCGTGAGGTGAAAGTTCACGAACCGCAGCTGCCCAAGCGCCGACGCAAACTGCGGCGCCGTGACAAACCCCGTCCTGAAGTGGTCATAACTTTTCAAAACGTCGTCGCAACGCAGACGATACATGGCAAACTGTGAGCGCAGCACATTCAACAACCCATCGATGGAAAGCGGTGCAGACAACCCACGGGGAGAGATCTGCGGTGAGGAGCTCGCGGGGTGTGTCCCCTCCTCTTGTGAGGCAGGATCCTCCTCAAGGTCCCTGCACCACGCGGCGTAAAGCACTTCGCCGTCGTCGTCGCTGTACTTCTTCAGCATAAGCTGCAAGACGTCCTCTCGCAACCCCTCAAACGGCATGCAACGTCGAAAGCGGGAGGCAGCCACTTTGCCGCTGCGGAACGGATCAAAGTCCTCAAACAACTTGCGAAGGTGCAGCCCACGCGCCCGCACACCGTCGCGCAGCGCGCGGAATGCTGTCGCCAGTGTACGCTCCTCATTCTCTGAAAGGGGTTTGCCCCTGCGCCGCAGCGTTGTCAGCAGCTCCGCCGGAGGATCCTCCGCTCGCAAAGCCTGAAGAAAGGCCACGTAATTCACATCTGTCGGATCCCCTCCGCGTGGAGTCCTGCTGCCCGCCGGCTGGTTGGTCGCCAAAAAGGCCTCCTTCAGTGCCTCAAATTCCGCGTCAGCGAGTTGAATCGAATTGACGGCCAAAACGCGGCGTAGCTGGTTGGCCGTAATACGACCGGAGCGAAGTGAGTCAAAGTCCGTGAAGAAATCATCCAGTCGCAGTCGGCGCTGGGCCACCCGTACCCGCACCTTCTGCAGCACCTCGTCCACTGCAGCCATGAACCGTGTCTGGTTGGTCTCTCCTTCCCGCTTCCTCCCCTCTCGTTCGTGTAGTTCCCGCTAAACCTAACAAACTCACCCACTACTGTGAGATCCTCGTGACAAAAACATGGAATAACCAAAGCAAAGGAAAAGGGAAATAGGATGCACGCCTTCAGTTATTTCCCACACACACACACACACACACGTGGCCAGTAACGCTCTACCTCACTCCGTTGCCTACCCTCATCGACCGTGCATTTATATTGATTTTGCGTTTTCCTCTACCGCCGTCGCTCTATTCTCCTCCTCGCATAGACAGAAAAAATGCCGACATGCGTACAAAAATATAAACGGCAAGAGTGAGAAAGGGAGGACGCAGAGAAGCGAGGGTGTGAGAGAAAGACAAAAAGAAAGAAGAAGAAAAAATGGACAACTACAAGACAACGCGTCCCCATGTGCGCTACTTTGCACCCAAGTTCTTTGCATTTTCATCCACACCGTGTGTGTCGCTCGTGCCGAATGGCAACTCGGCGTCGACGGCATCAACAATCTCCCGTGGCAACAGGAAACACGTGAGCAGCACAGCCGTGACGGCGCCGTTGCGAAACGCCCGGTATGTTCCCCACGGTGCGCTCTTGGCCACCACAAAGAGGCTTGTGCAGGTGATGCCAACCGCCGGCAGAATCCAGTGACTCCGGCGCAGCTGCTCACTGGCAAATAATGTTTTCTCCGTGACGAAGCGATCGGCCTGCGCCGTGTACACCCTGGCAGTGGCTAGGTGGGCTGGAAGGTCGAAGACGGACCCTGCAAGGTCGCCAAACACCCACGCTGCCTGGCGCACCACCGACACATGACGCCGCAGCCACATCCACTCTCCCTCCCACAGAGCAACAACCCCGCGGTCCTCGAGGCTCATGGTGTTGCCCCCCCCCCCTACCGTTCACTAAACTAAATGCCTGCTTCTCCCGCCCGCTGCCCAGAGAACCACAAAACCCGGTCGCTGTCAGGAGCAAAACCGGGGTGAAGAGAGAAGACAGCGTAACCCAAACAAAGTAAGTGCGGAGGGCGCGGAAGGAAAGACAACCAAATAAAGAACAAAAAAAAAACAGTAACCATCACGCCCGCTTCCACTTGCCCCCGCCTCCCCCCACACCGTGTGCGAGGTCGGAAACTCAAACCGCAAGACACAGAAAGAGGAAACAAAAAAAAAACAATGCAGCTGAATTAAACAAGAGGCCAAGGAAAGAAAGACCCACGCACGTGCTCACAAGGCATCGCTCACAACTGCAGCCAGAGGTACCACCGTTAATCGAGTGATACGATTAAAGGTATCACAAAAAAGCCGTTGTGGGCAACTTGACACACACACACAAAAAAAAAAGTGGAAACTAATCACAGCGAAATGCGGTCGCCCAAGCTTCTTGCATCCAAAGAGTACTGAGCAAAAAATTTCGCAATAAGGTCTACGTGAAACCGCACCACTGCGGCGCCCCCTTGCTGCTCTTTGCATCCCAATCGCCTCAGAAAGTCAAAATTCTACCTCGGAAAACACACGCGATGCAACTCACGAGACAAAATGTATCCTGTATTTGCATGACAGCCTCAAAGTAGCCCAACAAAGTGGGAGTGATGAGCAGAGAGGAAAGGAGAGGGAGCGTATTTGTTTTCACTTGAGGTATGAAAGCAAGGCATCCCCGCCTTGAGACAAAAAGAGCAAATACAGCCTCGTTTCCCGATCAACTCGCTGTACTTCAACCCCACATCAAAATTGAACTCTTGCAATCTTCTACGCGTAGGCCCGAGAATTCAGCCGTAATGAGAATGAGCGGCTTGGACCAGAACAGAACAAATAGCCGCTACTACCACGTTGGCCAGTTACTGACCTCTCTCACTTGCATAGACTGAAGCCTGAACGGTGTCACCTCCGGAGCAGCACAGACACAAAGCATGCATGCACACAAGCAACCCGTTCATTCCAAGCCTTTTCACTGAGCGCACACATGCGCCACAGGGAGCAAATGTCATTACTGGTTACAACCAGTCCATCAGCCTGTCCTCACTCATGATTCCCAAAACATATCTATACAACAACAAAAAAAAAATATACTGCTCTTCTCGGCAGTATGCCGAACTTCTCGCTGCTCCAGACGCTGACAAGAGCAAACCAAATTCATTACGGGAGCAACTGCCGCGAATGTCTAGTTACGCTTATGAAGAGAGGCACCGACACTGTCATCAAGCAGTTCCGCAATAAACATTTTCACCGTTTCCTTCGAATCAAGAACGCGCCTCCGTTTGCCAACTCGTTTCCTTGTCGTTCGTGCCAGGCACTTCGCTGGGCCTCCACCCAGTGCAAGATCACAAGGTGGGGGGGAAGCGCTCATTGTGAGAGGTCCGGCACTTACAACTAACTCATCTTCCTCCTCCACCTTTACCTTCACTATGCCGCGCCGAGGCAGCCCGATGACCATATCATCTTGAGACGTCGGCAAAGAGCAACTGCCACTTCTCCAACTCAAAACCTGTACCACGCCGGCCGGCGCTACTACCAGCTGACGCCGCATGGCTTCCGACTCTCCCACCAATTCGTCCTTCTCTGCCGTCATGCCGCTGTTTGGGACATTGACTACTTTCACTGGCGCTGCAGTAGGGGAGAATGTCGTGTTCTCTTCCTTGCATTGCGCTGAGGCTGATAGGGACACCGAACGAGAACTATTCACTACGGAGCACTTCTCTTCCTGCGGCTCAGCCAGAGAAGCCCTCACCAGAACTGGAGACAGATCCAACAGAGATTCCTTCAAAGGATTGCTGGGGTTGCCACCGTCGTCGTGAGAAGCCAGCAAAGAGTGTGGCATAGGTCCTGTGTGCGTGGAGGCACGTCTTGGCGGAGCACAATCCCCATGTTTCCCCTCAATTCCTCCAAGAGGAGTCTTTGAGACCACATCGCGTGCGGCCAACCCAATGCCAACTGAAGAGTCGCACAAACTCTCCCTGACACGTCGGTTCGTGAGGGAGGCTGCCTTGTACTCTTTCACCGTTGTCGTACATTTTTCCTCCGCACGTTTTACGAGATACCCCGATGCGTAACGGGGCAAAGCGGTGGTGGAATTAACACTGACAGACCGCAACGTCGACTCTACCGCGTTGTTGTCACTCACTCCACATTCAGGGTGGTGAATCAGGGAGGTGGAGCAAAGGCATTGGCGGCTACTGAGCTCACTGCCCTGCGGCAGAGCACATGGATGAAGGCCGTTGACGGAACTGTCTGTGCTCCCTGCATGCAGCAACACAATACGCTGCGCAGCCGCACCACAAACCCCACAAGGCAAATCCAAACCCTCTTCGGATTGTAAATAACTCCCACATAATTCTTTTCCCAATACCTCTGTCGTCAAATTGACTGGTGTCGACGCTGCACTCAAGCGGCAAACGGAATGGTCGTTCGATGAAAGACCTGGCGCAGCGTCTCCGGCCGCCAATTTGGAAAAACAGGGTCCCTGCAAGCGGTGCTGGACCCATCCGACGTCTTGTCTCTCTCCTATGAATCGTACAAAGACGTGCAACCGCAGAAGCAGTTGCCGCTCGGAAAGGGACGCACCAGGGGCGAGTTTTGCCCCAGCACCGAGCTCCAATGTCAACAGCGGCTCCTTCCACCACCGGGCATCGCAAGGGTCAAAGGCCACTGGCAAGGAACTCGCACCAGCCGCCAAGCGACAGCCATTAACAAACGTACCATTCAAGCTACAACAGTCACGCACACTAATGGCACACCACTCATGTGGGTCGTGCGAGACACGCAACACATGGCTACTGCTGAGTTGCAGCACACAGTGACGACGGGACAGCAGCGGACCCTCGGTAGCCAGCTTGAAAGTTATGACCCCACTGTTTTCCACAGGGTCCCGACCCAATGGCAGGAGCAAAATAACAGGGGCGTTTCCCCCATTTGAGCTAAGTACCTCATTTGCCGAAGACAACGCTGTTCCGTCTGCATTACAAAAAAAACGTGCTGTCAGACGGCAGCGCCTGTAGTTATTTACCGACCCGTGGCGCACGTAATCCGGTTTAACCACATGCCACGCCTCTGCATCACCCGGGAACTTCCTCGGCACCGCAGAGACACCGCCCAAATCCGACAGGAGCTTCAGGTTGTGACCAGCTAGAAGTACAAGTTCCATCTTATTCTCCCGCGTGCCAGATCTCCCTTTCCCTCCTCCTGCCACTTACAGCCACGACACGGCAAAAAAAAAAAACAGTAAAGCAAAGAGTAAGTAGAGGGGGGAAAAGGTGGGATGAGAGAATAAGGGTTTTTAAAGGAGCAGAAGGGGTGGTACCACACCCGTATGGCAACTGCAGTTGCCGCACCCCCCACCCCACCCTACTTCGTCAACCCATACAAGAGAGGAGGAACGGCGCGCGATGGTTGGTGACGGATGTGAAGATCAGTACAGCCATTGCCGCTGCTACGCCGCCTTCGTGGTGTCAGAGCTGCCCTCCTCTCCTTCTGGACGCGGGAGAAAGTATCCCTTTTCCTGCTCACGTTGATTTCGCAGGTAACCCCGTTGCTGTTCCAGCGTCGAAGTAATTACGCGTATAAATTCTTGCTTCTTCTTGTCATCACGCGAAAGCTCGTAGAGGTGATACTATTCCGCCTCGCCAAACTTCGTCAGCGCACACCAGTAGTTATTCCATAGATGATGTAGCCCACAACGCAACAGGCGACGATAAAAAGGAATGCACTGCGGCTCCGAAGTTTGCGTCTCCAACTCACGGTTTGTGGAGAAACAATTCATAAGCTCCACACAAAAATCATGGCAGTTGCTGTGCAACGCAGCATTATGCAAAAGGGTCCCCTGATTATTATTGGAGCCCATGCATGTCACGTAGTCGTTGTGTGTGGTGCGGCACTTATTCTCATTCATGCTGTGCTTTGTGTTTATCTCGTGTTCCCGGTCCGAGTGTTCAATAAGATGGTGCCTCTTCAGGCATGTCATGTAGTCGTCAAGCTGCTTGTAGCACACGCATTCAGGTTCTGGTGCAACGTGAAGGAGTTGTGCTCCTCCTCTAGAGCAGGATCCGCGTCACCCCCACGATGCGCAATGGACCTGTTCTGCTCACTTCGCCATTTATCAAAGAGATCCATGGAAAACTGCGAATGCTTCGCGGGCGTACTCATCTGTCGTCACACATTCGAAGACGTACCTCCGTCCAAAAAGAACCTTACTGTGCGTACTGCAATACCAACGTGAGGCACAAAAAAAAAAAAAAAACACGACAGATGAATGGAAAAAAAATCTCCCCGCTTTGCCAAGCCGTAAAAAAAAAGGGAGGGCTAAAAGGCGCAAGAACAGCCCTAATGGCCCCCACAAACAGGCAGGCATGCCTGTATTTAAAAAAAATACAGGCATTTTACACGTATAAAACAAGCAAAATGAAAAAGAAAATAACCAACTGGTATGCATCCTTCCCTAATGATCTTCTCCCGGCGGATCACACCCCGCTGCGTTACCGCGGCCTGAGAAATAGTGGCAGAAGCGCGGCAGAAAAGGCGTGAAAACAGGCACAAAAGAGAAAATTCACGAGACCACCTCAAGAGCCCTCGACGTTAAACATCCAACAAAGGACACTACGCCTTTTGGGAGCGAGGTGCGTTCCTGCCCTGCTGCTGACGGGCCTGGGGCGCAGGCTTGCCACCGCGCTGCTGGCGACCGCCGTCTTCATTCCGGGACGGACGGGCGCCGCGCTGCTGCGACTGCTTCTGCTGAGGCCTGCGGGCGTTGCCCCTCTGCGCGCCGCCGCGCTGGGCAGCACCCTTCTGGCCGGGAGCGCCGCGAGCGCCCCTTTGCTGCAGAGCGCCCTTTGCTGCGCCGCGAGCGCCAGGACCCTTCAGGTTCGTCACCTTCTTCGCGCGAGGCTTCTTGCCAGTCTTGATGTTGATCATGCCCTTCGCAATCGCAAGGTGGTTGATCGCGTGGTCAGACGCAGCCTGGCAGCGAAGATAACCAGCAATGCAGAAGGTCGTCGTCGTACCGTTGATCACACCGTTGGCATCCACATTCGCGATGGCAATCTGCA